TGCAGAGATGGCTTCCTGGAAGTCCACAGGCACCTACGTTGACGCTGTCCCCCCTCTTGGGGCGAACATCGTCAGTGGCATGTGGATCTCCAGGGTGAAGCGGCCGCCGGGTTCTCCGCCTGTCTTCAAGGCACGTTACGTGGCTCGTGGCTTCAGTCAGCGACAGGGAGTTGACTACTTTCAGACCTTCTCCCCCACCCCGAAGATGACCACTCTTCGGGTGCTGCTACACGTTGCTGCTCACCGTGACTACGAGCTGCACTCTCTCGACTTCAGCACTGCTTTCTTGCAGGGCAGCCTGCACGAGGAGATCTGGCTGCGCCGCCCACTTGGCTTCACTGGGTCTTTCCCTCCTGGTACCCAGTGGAGTCTCCGGCGTCCAGTCTACGGTCTCCGCCAGGCGCCACGTGAGTGGCACGACACACTGAGGACTACGCTTGCGGCTCTTGGGTTTGCTCCTTCTACTGCCGACCCGTCGCTGTTTCTACGCACCGACACCTCTCTGCCGCCGTTCTACATCCTCGTGTACGTCGACGACTTGGTCTTTGCCACAGCTGACACTGCTGGACTCGCCCACGTGAAGTCCGAGCTGCAGAAGAGACACACGTGCACAGACCTGGGTGAACTGCGCAGCTACCTTGGCTTGCAGATCACCCGGGACAGAGCACGCCGCACCATTACCCTGACTCAGTCACACATGGTGCAGCAGGTCCTTCAGCGCTTCGGCTTCACGTACTCCTCGCCTCAGGCCACTCCTCTGCCTACTCGCCACTCACTCTCAGCTCTGCCTTCGGATGAGTCAGTAGAGTCGAGTGGCCCGTATCCAGAGCTTGTTGGCTGCCTCATGTACCTGATGACCTGCACACGACCTGACCTTGCATACCCTCTTAGCATTCTTGCACGCTATGTTGCTCCTGGGAGACACCGACCAGAGCACATGGCTGCAGCGAAGAGGGTGTTGCGATACTTGTGCAGTACGTCGGGCATGGGACTAGTGCTTGGAGGGCGGAGTCCAGTGGTCCTCACTGGGCACGCGGACGCTTCTTGGGCTGACGACCAGGCTACGCAGCGGTCGTCGCAGGGTTACACCTTCAGTCTTGGTTCCGGCTCTGTCTCGTGGCGAGCTACTCGCTCGTCCTCTGTTCTCGGCTCCAGTTGTGAGGCTGAGATCTACGCCGGGGCCATGGCTGCACAGGAGCTTCGCTGGCTCACCTACCTGCTGACTGACCTTGGAGAGCCGCCTCGTTCTCCTCCAGTGCTGTACGTAGACAACAAGGCCATGCTGGCCTTGTGTCGAGAGCAGCGCTTGGAGCACAGAACGAAGCACATTGCTCTCCGTTACTTTCTTGCTCGTGAGCTGCAGCAGCGTGGTCAGTTGCGACTTGCGTACGTGGCCTCTTAGGCCAACACTGCTGATGTGTTCACCAAGGCACTTGCGCCTTGTGACCATCAGCGCTTCTGCACTCAGCTGGGTCTTGTACCTGTCTTGCCTCACTTGCTCTCCTCTTGACCTTACTTGTACTGTCACATATATATACCTGCTCTTGCTTGTCTAGCTCTATATATATATGTGTACTCCTGCATGTGAACTGGCCTTGTGGCCTTGTCGTTGTGCTCGGACTGTGTGGTGACGTTGTGATCCACCCTGAGCTTGCTCTGCTTTGCTTGACTGGTCTTGTGACCCCTTGTTCTCCCCCACTTTGCCTATGGGGGTGTGTCAGAACATTATATAGCTTATGCTGTTGTGTAGGCTATAGTGGGGTATCCCATAGGGGGTACAACCCAATTAGGGTTTTCCATATGTACTCACCTCACTCATAGTTGATTCATCCTCGTTCTTCATTCTTCTCACCTGCCACGACACATATAAAACAACAACCGTTAGATTTATCACATGTACAAACGCTTTACCGAAAGTGTGTGTAACATCATGTACCGATGTGCGACGCAGTACGTTGAGGCGAGATGTGGGATCCGCATACGCAGCCGCGCGACGACTCCATTGTTCTTCCCAACCAGTGATTTTCTGCAAGTCTAGTCCAATCCCCGTCAAATACTGCACCACAGCATAAGTAAGAGAAGCGGCGTCAGCGCGGTCAGCAGTGATCGGTGTGAGGAACTCATTGACCACAGAGGTTCCTCTTAAAAAAGTTGCGTAGAGTATAAGATGTTTCCCGTGAATTCGGTATGTGCTCTCGTCGATGGACATGCCAATCCATGGCTACTCCAAGTGCAAGCGCTGCACTTCTTGCAGGTATGTTGAGATGGCGCGAAGGTTCTCTTTGAAGCCATAACAGCAAACAACATTAATAAAAAACAAAAGTTAGTAATAGTAACAAACACACAATCAACAACCACAAACTACAACAGCCACTCACTACGTGTAAAAGGTGCCATAGCCGGCCCCAGGGTGAAGGTCGGGAAGACCTTCCTTAGCCAAAAACCAGCAGAGAGGGACAAACATCGCGATTGGGGCATCCGCCTTGCAGACGAACAGCGCGATGTGGATGTTATGTGATGCTATCATTTGCATTCACGTCTGTCTACCTCCCATCATATGTTCGTGCGTTGCATGCGTGGTGTGTGCAAGAATTTGTGTTTGGCATGGTTTGGATTTTCTGAGTGTGTGTGAATGCTATTTGGCTTGGGCAGATATCTGAAGTGACTCCTTTGCTTAAGAGCTTTCCGACGAACCAAGAATCGTTGCGATCGGAACAAGAACGAGAAAGATTTATCGTTCGAAGTTTTGATTGTGATGCGACGACTATGGGAATTTGTGGAGTGACTCAATATGGGGTATAGACTTTTGGGGTTGGGGAAATTCGTCACTCTACTGTAGATTGATGCCAAGTGGTTGGGAGAAGCCAAACCAGGTTGGCAAGTGTGGCCAAGTTGGGTGGGGTGGATGGCATGAGTTGGGAAAGTGACAAATGTCAAAGTTGGGGTGTCTATAGAGAGGGGAATTGTGTGGTATGGGGTTTCCTTGGTTGGGGACTCTCTTGGGACCTTCCCTCTCGTCCTCCTCATCCCCTCCTACCTGGTTCAATTGCTACTCCAACTTTCTTGTGTGAACTTGTGAGACAACTTTGTTATTGAGTTAAGTTTCTATGACAGCATACCCCCTAGTGCGCCGAAATTCATAACTCAAGCTATAATCCATATTTTGATAATATTCAAATTGGGAAAGATAGCCACGGTCAAGGGCTACAACATACTCGAGTTTGAGAGAATTCTGACATAGCGTTTTTTTTTTTTGACGACGTTTCTTGTGAAGAGAACGTTTCTGTCCAGAATTATAGTTGACGATTTTGAGATATTTCGGCCCTTAATCTTCATAGGCTCCGACCTTAGTCTCTAACAGTGGAGACAGCGAATGATGTGCCGCGCCGACGCATCAGTCGTCTGCCAGTGGGTGAGTGTCGCTTGTTTCGCCTTAGCAACCTCAGCATCTGCCTGGTTCTTCAGAGCCTGCTTGTGTGCTCTGGTAGAGGAATGGGCTCGGATGCTTCCAATCTGGAGGTTGTGACCATCCTCACCTCTCACACCGTAGCTCGTGTGAGCACAGGGATCTCTATGCTGCATGCATATACTGCACTTCAACGTTGCAGTACCGTTGGTCGTGCGATTGAGACGACGCAACCACTTAAACTTACCATACCACTTCGTGTCATAACAATTCTTAATCACATCGTAGTCAACATCACCACTTGGCTTAGGAGGCCCCTCATCAACAAGGGCAGCAGGGCGTTGCGGTGATACCTCCTTTCAAGGTGGAGGGGCCCCCCAGAGCCACTGCTGCGTGTACTTGGCTCCAACCCGCGGTCGTTTCCCGGGCATGCTGTTCACAGTTGACGGTGACGCCGCGGAGGGCCTGGACGATCCTTCCCCTCCGCCAGGAACAAGCACGATTGACGGGTGTGGCTCCCAGTCAGTCGGCGAGGATGGGGGGTCGAATGGGTAAACAATAGCCACACTGCGCACTAGAGAGGCGGCATGAGGAAACTGAGATATCGGAACGCTATAGCTTTCAGCTAGGCGGGGAAGAACTCCCAGAACAGTTAGGCCATTTTGGACGACACCAGGCGGTTCTCGCTCTTGCTCGGCTGGCATGACTAAAAGACACTCGCAGGAGAAAACCTCACGCTGACGAAGACAAGGACAAAGACAAGGACGAAGAATATGGGGTGTCCTTGGGAACACAAACACCTCAAACACCCTCAAACGAAGTGATGGCCTGGAAGAGCGGGTTTCGCTAGAGGCATTGTTGCCAAAACCACCAATGCAGCGATTTTGTGGCTCATCGGCAGTTTTTTCGCGGTTTTGAACCTGAGGTTGCTGTCGATTTCTGTGTGTGTTGGTCCTCTTGTCCTGTTCGCTACGTGTTCAATATGGGAAATCCTCGCTTCCGAGAATCCGGTATCAGTGTAACTGAAACCGTACCTTGTACAATCAGGGAAAATTTTCTGAAACACTGTTTTGCCAAGGGGAATTTTTACACTTTCTGACCTATGGTAAATAACTCAATACCCTTCTTGTGAAAGGGTAACTACCAAAAACCGGCTGCCAGAAAGAGCAAAAAGGGCATTTTACCCTGATATTTTGGGAGTATGGCTGGATGGGAGTATGGGGTGGATGGGGGTGTGGGGTGGATGGGGTTGTGGGGTGCATGGGGGTATGGGGTGGATGGGGGTATGGGGTGGATGGGGGTATGGGGTGGATGGGGGTATGGGGTGAATGGGGGTATGGGGTGGATGGGGTTATGGGGTGGATGGGGTTACGGGGTGGATGCGGGTTTGCGGTGGATGGGTGTAACACGCCCCCATCCATCCCATCCCTCTAATATCACACGCCCTTAATGTCACTTGCCCTTTAATGTCACTCGCCCTTTAATGTCACACGCCATTTAATGTCACACACCATTTTATGTCACACGCCCCCTAAGTCCAAATCGCGACACCACATGCCCCTCACCTCATAAACTTTAATGTCCCCACGCCCCCATGTCCCCACGCCCCCATGTCCCCAAGCCCCCATGTCCCCACGACCCCATGTCCCCACGCCCCCATGTCCCCAAGCCCCCATGTCCCCACGACCCCATGTCCCCACGCCCCCATGTCCCCACGCCCCCATGTCCCCACGCCCCCATGTCCCCACGCTCCCATGTCCCCACGCCCCCATGTCCCCACGCCCCCATGTCCCCATGCACATCCCCCTCCCCGCCATGACAGGTGCCGTGTGTGGCATTGGTGGAGAACATGGTATATTTCGAGGCGGAGGGGAAGCGCTACTTCCCCTTTAGCAAGGGCTCTGCCAGCAAGGTGGGTGCCACAGTGTGGCATCCCACACCTCTTCGAACTGCCCATCCGCCCCGAGGTGCGCTGCGGTACCCCACGGTGCATCATGGTGTGGCATGGTACCCCACGGTGCATCATGGTGTGGCATGCTACCCCACGGTGCATCATGGTGTGGCATGGTACACCACGGTGCCCGGAGCTATCTTTCATTTGGGTTGCGTTTGGTGATGGCCTTGGTGAAGTGACCAATGACCATCACAGTTGACGGTTAGAGTAGGGTGCTTCGAGATCATGCCTCTCTCCCCTCCCATACCTCCATGCACTCAAACCCACAAACTCTCTCCACTCACACCCGGCCCCACTCCTCTCCACACATACGCTGCCGCCTCCTGGGTGACACGCCTCGCCCATGCCTTCCATGCTCCCCTTATGCGTCCCATGACCCCCCCAAGCCCCCATGCCCCCCATTCCCGTGCTCAACCCCATCCGTTCCATGCTCCCCCAATGTTCTACTTCCAGCTGTCAGCAGCAGGGGACAGCGGGCAGCCGGAGGTGGTGGAGGATCCGTTGGGCGAGGTGGCTCGCACATTCACGGACGTGGGGGCGTGTGTGGTGCAGCAGTGCGCCAAGCTGCGCCAACAGGGTGAGTGCACGCCTTGGCTGCTGCTAAAATACCAGAGCCGTTGTGGGGCAGGGTGAGTCCACGCACGTTCACGGACGTGGGGGTATGTGTTGTGCAGCAACGCACCAAACTGCGGCAGCAGGGTGAGGTGAGGGCTTACTGCTTCTGTTTGCGCTGCTGCTGGGTGGGTGGGCTGCTGTGGTGACGTGGGCACGTGTGTGGTGCAGCAGTGCGTCCAGCTGCGGCAGTAGGGTGAGTTGATAACTTAGCTCACCTCACCTGCTGGTGGGTGTGTTGCTGTGGAGCTGCTGGGTGCATCGCCACTCAGAGCTCAACACTGAGGGTGTATCTCACTTTGGGTCATAGGCACTGTTTGGGTCGACCGAGATTCGTGAACGACCAATAGGGCGCATTTCAGCTACACTACTAGAATACCATTGGTCGTCCTATGACCCAAAGTGCTTCTATAACCCAAAGTGAGCTTCTATGATCCAAAGTGCTTCTATGACCCAAAGTGCTTCTTGTCAAACATATATTTACTATAGTCGGTCTAGGCTGTAGTGGGGTAGTCCTTAGAGGGTACAACACTTATGTGTTTCCTACTTGTACCCTTCTCATTTCCTAATTCAATCATTCTTTCGTCTATCATTCTCACATGGTAAAGAGCTAGTTTCGAGAATTATTTTTAAGGGCCCACCACTGAAATTTCTCCCCTGCCTACTTGCCGCGCGCTTCGCACCTTCCCTTCGAGGCCCGTCACGGCCCCTGCGCCCGCCCTTAGAGCCTGCACCCGCCCCGTAAGGCCCCTTAAGGCCTCGTTAGGCCCCGTAAGGCCTCTTTAGGCCCCGTTTAGGGCACGGATTACGGCCCCGTAAGGCCCCGTTATGCCCCGTAAGGCCCCGTAAGGCCCCATCAGGCCCCTTTTGGCCCCGTTTAGGGCGCGGATTACGGCCCCGTTAGCCCCATAAGGCCCCGAAAGACCCCGTCAGGCCCCGTTCGGCCCCGTTTAAGGCCCCGTTAGGCCCCGATAGGCCCCGTTAGAGGCCCCGTACGGCCCCGTCAGGCCCCGTTAGAGGCCCAGTACGGCCCCGTCAGGCCCCATTTGGCCCCGTTTAAGGCCCCGTACGGCCCGTCAGGCCCCGTTATAGGCCCCGCAAGGCCCCGTTATCGGCCCCGTACGGCCCCGTTATAGGCCCCGTCAGGCCCCGTTATAGGCCCCGTTCGGCCCCGTCAGGCCCCGTTAGAGGCCCAGTATGGCCCCGTCAGGCCCCATTTGGCCCCGTTTAAGGCCCCGTAAGGCCCGTCAGGCCCCGTTATAGGCCCCACAAGGCCCCGTTATCGGCCCCGTACGGCCCCGTTATAGGCCCCGTCAGGCCCCGTTATAGGCCCCGTTCGGCCCCGTCAATCCCCATCCGGCCCCGTTATAGGCCTCGTCAGGCCCCGTTATAGGCCTCGTTCGGCCCTGCTGTGGCCCTGTCGCAACTCTTCCCCGACGCTGCCCCGGCCCTGCTCCTGAACTGCCCCGGCCGTGCTTCTGCACTGCCCCGGCCCTGCTCCTGACCTGCCCCTGAACTGCCCCGGCCGTGGCCCGGCTCTGCCCAGGCCCTGCCCGGGCCCTGCCCCGGCTCTGCCCCGGCCCTGCCCCGGCCCTGCCCCGGCCCTGCCCCTGAACTGCCCCGGCCCTGGCCCGGCTCTGCCCTGGCCCTGCCCCGGCCCTGCTCCTGAACTGCCCCGGCCCTGCCCCGGCCCTGCTCCTGAACTGCCCCGGCTCTGCCCCGGCCCTGCCCTGGCCCTGCCCCTGAACTGCCCCGGCCCTGGCCCGGCTCTGCCCAGGCCCTGCCCCGGCCCTGCCCCGCCTCTGCCCCGGCCCTGCCCCGGCCCTGCCCCTGAACTGCCCCGGCCCTGGCCCGGCTCTGCCCTGGCCCTGCCCCGGCCCTGCTCCTGAACTGCCCCGGCCCTGCCCCGGCCCTGCTCCTGAACTGCCCCGGCCCTGCCCCGGCCCTGCTTCTGCAATGCCCCGGCCCTGCTCCTGAACTGCCCCGGCCCTGCCCCGGCCCTGCTCCTGCACTGCCCCGGCCCTGCCCCAGCCTCTCCCCTGGTAAGAGCGCCGCGCTGCCGAGCCACACCGCCCTGCCGAGCTGCGCCGCCCTACCTAGCCTGCTTAGCCGAGTTCCACTGCTGCTACTGCTACATCACAAAAACCCTATGCCAAGTTTGGACGAATTTTGATTTCGATTGTCTTCGCGTAAAAAAATCCGGAGCCAATTTGGACCGACGGTTGGAGTCATTTGATAGGAGCTCCGAGACACATCTCGCGACAAGGTTTGGCTCGGTTCAAGTTCCAATTTGGCACGCGAGCTTTTCCGGATGACATTCGGGCGCAATCCGTTTTGTTGCAAATTCGTGACCAAATTATTCAAAACTAAATTCTGTTTTTGTTCATTTTGGATATTGAGGATTTCAAAATTGCATTTATTATTGCGGTTTACAAGAACCATTATTCAGCATTCTAGCAACAAGCAGTCTTAGCACCAGGTCAAATAGCCTACGCACTGGTGGGCCTTGAAAGCGCCCGGTGGGCAAGGACGACATCTCCAAGGTCGCCGTCGTCGATGAGGAACTTGTTCGGAAAGACGAACGCACCCATAGCCGGATCGTGGGGGATCCTCCGCTCCACGACAGCAAAATGGATCATCTGTTTGACCTTTTCGCACCACTCCTGGTAGTCTGGCCTGTTCTGCTCCGGCTGGCTACTGATTCGCTTGCGACGCTTATCCTGCAGAAGGGGCCATTCGATCTGCAATGTGGTGTAGGGTTGGGTGGATGGTTTATGAGGAGGGTAGGTTACGGGTAAATGAGGCAACTGAAAGCGGTGATGCAGTCGTCACTATCTACGTAACTGCAAAGGCCTAATCGACCAGGGTTTTAGCTGAAGTACAGGCAAGGGGTTAAGGGGATGAGGCATGGGGGTACAAACACATATCTACATCCTTACCGAAAACAGGCCCCATGCCACCATGCGGCTCTTGAACTTGGTGAACACCGCCCCGCCCCTCTTGAAGGAGAGCTTGAACGCATAAGCGAACAAGGGGTTGCTGAAGGGTGTCCCGGTGGCCTTGTCAAAGTGCCAGTTGAGGGCCCACTGTTCTGCTTATTGGCAGGGAGGGTATGGGTTGGAAAGGTTTTTGTAGAGAAATCAAATGGGGGGATGAGAGTCAGGGTGAGCCACATCGCACGGTGATATGTAGCTGCCAAGGGGCATATGGTAGGGCATATTGTGTTTTCGAGTTGCACTGCACATACCATCTCTGTACTCGACTAGGAGTTGATCGTCGTCGAACCAGGTCGTTGGGTGTAGCTCAGTGGGCAGGCTATCCACGAGATGGCTGTAATCGGCAAGGCCCATGCCGGTGTATGCTGCTGGCCTGAGGGTGGAGTTGATAGTTGACCTTGTTGAGGACAGCTGGTGGTTGAAGACTCCCATGGTTGACTTGTCATTGTGCAACCACAGCAGCTTCATTGCCTCGAGCCCTTCTGCAGACAAGTGGACAGAGAACGCTTCGAACACTTCCTTCGGTGCAGGGTAGTACTGTATTTTCTCCGGCGGGTTCAGAAACATGAGCTGAGAGCACACTAAGTAGGCTTTGTTCTGCGCAGGGGTGTAAGGTATACAACACGACATGGAAGAGAGAAACCAGCAGTTATGAGGGTGGCCGCGTGACCATGGGATGGTGACTAGCAACACTGTTTGAACTTGCCACGTCACACCCTGCGCCATCCGACACCTCCACCAACAACCCGGCCCACTTGCCACGTCACACCCCCCTACCACAAGCCACGTCACCCCCCACCCACCTGACACGCCTCGCTTCGTCATGCGCAGTGGTCACGTGTACCATTTCTAACCGCCACGTCATCCCCAACCCTCACCTTCCGCCACGTCACACCCACCTGCATCCGCCACGTCATCCCCAACCCTCACCTTCCGCCACGTCACACCCTCCTTGTCCGCCACGTCCACCAACCAGCCCCACGTGCCACGTCACACCCTCCTGCATCCGCCACGTCCACCAACAACCAGGCCCACGTGCCACGTCACACCCTCCCACCCCATGCCACGTCACCCCCCACCCACCTGACACGCGTCGCCTCGTCACGCGCCGCTCCCGTGTACCATTCCAAACCGCCACGTCAGCCCCAACCCTCACATTCTGCCACGTCACACCCTTTTGCATCCGCCAACAACCCGCCCTACTTGCCACGTCACACCCCCCACCAAGAGCCACGTCACCCCCCACCCACCTGAGACGCCTCGCTTCGTCATGCGCCGCTCACGTGTACCCTTTTAGGGTGCCACGTCATCCCCAACCCTCACCTTCCGCCACGTCACACCCACCTGCATCTGTCACGTCATCCCCCACCCTCACCTTCCGCCACGTCACACCCTCCTGCATCCGCCACGTCCACCAACCAGCCCCACGTGCCACGTCACACCCTCCTTGTCCGCCACGTCCACCAACCAGCCCCACGTGCCACGTCACACCCTCCTGCATCCGCCACGTCCACCAACAACCAGCCCCACGTGCCACGTCACACCCTCCCACCCCATGCCACGTCACCCCCCACCCACCTGATACGCGTCGCCTCGTCACGCGCCGCTCCCGTGTTCCCTTCGAAACCGCCACGTCAGCCCCAACCCCGCCCTTGTTGCCACGTCAACCCCAACCCTCCCCATGTTGCCCGCCACATACCGGGAATGGGTTTGTCTCCTGCAACACTAGCACTCGTGCCTTGTCCACGGCGCTCATCGGCGGCGGGGTACCAGCCATAGGCAGGGCTGCCGACCCGCCGGCATAGCTGGCAGGTACTCCACGACGCAGGCCGAGCTGTGCAAACATGGCGTACATCTCAGACCGCAGCGCCTGGAACTCCTCCCGTGTAACAAACTGCTCGTGCTCCGCACTTTCACCTAGGGCACCCATGAGCGGAGGAAAAGGGTTTGAAGAATCCCCCCTCTGGCCAAGGGGATCAACGTCTTCTGCAGCAGTCCCGTGTGCCCTCACACTATCACGCTGGC